GGTTAAGTTTACGGTGTCGGGGGGCTTACCTAAAGGCTCGGGGAACTTAGCAACTCGGTTACTAGACTCTCATGGTCGAGATTCTATGAGCCCACACATGACTGAACGCTAAACCCTGAAAATCGTAAGCCCCAAAACCCTAAACCCTAAACCCTACACCCAAACCCCCGACCTGAACTCCCGAAGACCTGATACCGTGATACCCTATAAGCCCTCAACCCCTAAGCCGCTGAAGCCCCAACCACAGACCCCCAAAGCCCCAAAACCCAAAACTTACGTATGCTCAGTTAAATATACCACTTTCAGGGATTACATAGCGTACCTCACCCCTCGTGACCTAAAACCTAAACCCTAAACCCCTCATCCCCAAACCCCAAAACCCCGGAACCCTAAACCCCGAACCCCTAAACCCCAAAACCCTTTAACGGATTTACATGGGATACCTGATTCCCTCAAACCCTAAACCCGAAACCCTAAACCCTGAAAACCCCAAACCCTAAACCCTAAACCCTGAACCTTGAAACCCTAAGCCCCAAACCCCAAACCCCAAACCCTAAACCCCAAACCCTAACCCTAAACCCAAATAACCTAAAACCCTAAACCCTAAACCCTAAAGGCCAGGGAGCTGTGTGAGGGCTGCCATGGGAAGGCCGTTGGCGAGTCAACCCTTCCCGAAGCCGAGGAGCGCTTTCTGACAGGGCATCTTAGGTGGTTTAGGGTTTAGGGTTTAGGGTTTACGGTTTAGGGTTTAGGGTTTAGGGTTGAGGGTTTGGGGTTTAGGTTTAGGGTTTAGGGTTTAGGGTTTGGGGCTTAGGGTTTAGGGTTTAGGGTTTAGGGTTTGGGGTTTAGGGTTTAGGGTTTAAGGGTGCAGGGTTCAGGGTTTAGGGTTTTGGATTTAGGGGCTGGAAGTTTAGGGTTTAGGTTTCAGGGTTTGGGTTTAGGGTTCCAGAGCTCCGGATCGAGCAGTTTCTCGTTTAGGCTCGTCGGTTAGAACATCGAACCCGCCCGGAGTTCCCATAACATTAGGAAACACAAAGCTTCTTCTTATTCTTAGGATGGCTCAACAACAAACTAGCAGGGTTCACAAGGGTTTGGGATTATGGGGCTTAGGGGTTTTGTGGCTTTGGGGCTTGGGGGTTTTGGGGAGTTTGGGGGTTTTGGGGATTTTGGGGTTTTGGGGTTTTGGGGTTTTCGGTCGGGTTTTGGGGTGTTGGGGTTTTGGGGGTTTTGGGGTTTTTGGGTTGTTTGGGTTTTTTTTTGTGGTTTTTTTGGTTTTTTTGTTTTTTGAGTTTTTTGGGTTTTTGGGGTTGTTGGGCTTGGGTGGGATCTGGGTTTTGGGGTTTTGGGCTTAGGCTTGCGGGGTTCAGGGTTTATGGGGCTTAGGGTTAGAACCTGGGTATAGGGCTTAACGGGGGTCAGGGGATTAGGGTTTCGGGGCTTCGGGTTTTGGTGTTTATGGGTGTAAACCCTAAACCTCTGAACCCTAAACACCACTGAGCCCGTAAACCCCAGACCCTGAACCTTTGCTGCTCTGGGGTTTTGGTTTCTAGGCGTTGTGGCGTTGAGATTGGGGCAGATTTCGGGGATGGAGGTTTGGGAGATCGGGGATTGATGCTTTTAAGCTGTTGGAGTTTTGGGGGTTTGGGGTCTGAGGTCTGGGGGTTTTGGTTCAGCCTGTGCTGTGGGAGAAGGGAGTTTGGGCGTCTGCTGTTCTCAAGAACGCAGCAGGGGCTTGGGGTTCGGGTTCCCCTAAACCCTAAACCCTAAACCCTAAACCCTAAACCCTAAACCCTAAACCCTAAACCCTAAACCCTAAACCCTAAACCCTAAACCCTAAACCCCGCAAGACCTCTCCAGGGGCAAGCCATTACTGCCATTACCAGGAGAGTACGCTTCCATGGCTCGGATCGGGCTAACACAGAGACAGGTGCTCTGCCAGACACTCCAATACTCCTTAAACCAAGGAATATTCCTTATAAACCATACTCCTTAAACCAAGGAATATTCCTTATAAACCATACAAGGAACCCAGTCATAACGGGGAATATTCCTTAAATTAAGGGTATAATACTCCCTATAAACCATACAAGGAACCCAGTCATATTTAAGGAATATTCCTTAAGTTAAGGGTATTGGAGTCCCTCAGGGCGCAGGGCAATCCTTCCTAAACCCGAAAGAGTTGGGTTGAAGAATGTCCAATTCCCCCTTGCACTCCAGGCTACTGCGGGCAAATAGGGCATTGCTTTGCAGAAGGATTGGAGTATCTGACTGCGTGTGATTTTTCTAGACCCAAGAGTAGCCTAGGAAAATAAAGGATTACCCAACTCTTTGGTCTAAAGGGGCTTGTAACCGAACCTAAACCCTAAAAAAGGGAATCCGGGCCTACTCTGGGTCCTAGTTCTTGCATACCCGGGCCCCTAAACCCTAAGCTCTAAAATCCTAAACCCTAAACCCGCCTGGGGGGGGGTTTAGGGTTTAGGGTTTAGGGTTTAGGGTTTAGGGTTTAGGGTTCAGGGTTTAGGGTTTAGGGTTTTAGGGGGGGGCCGTGCGTCATGCGAGTCATGCTTCTGGTGATAACTGCGGGATGAACTCATGGCTTGCCAACACACGCCCGGCCGCGCCGGACCGACTAGGGTGTTGCCAGACTTGCAAGCTCGGGGTGCTTCAGGGTTTAGGGTTTGGGGTTTAGGGTTTGGGGTTTGGGGTTTGGGGTTTAGGGTTTAGGGTTTAGGGTTTGGGGTTGGCAATTGGGGGTGTGGGGTTTTGGGTGTTTGGGTTTGGGTTTTGGGGTTTAGATGGGCCCTCTCAAATAGCAGCGATGAGCTGAGCCTTGGGAGTCTTCTCTGCAAATCTGCACCCGAGCTACGACAGAAATGAAACGCCCCCCCCCCCCCCCCCAATACGTACTCCTTAGGTTTTAAGGTTCAGGGTTTAGGGTTTAGGGTTTAGGGTTTAGGGTTTAGGGTTTAGGGTGCAGGGGTTTGGGGTCAGGGCTAGACCCAAGAGTAACCTAGGAATTGACATGGGGTGCCTTCTTCTAGCTGAAACGGGGCCTTTAAGGGAACCTACAAGCAAACAAGCGGGGAATAAGGGCCTACAGCAACTCTCAGTCCCCTGCTGTGGGCACCGCAAGCATGGAAAGACGAACCAGCACCAAAAGGCAATTCCCCCTCAACCATCAACCCTAGAGGCCCTAAACCCGAAACCCTAAACCCTAAACCCCAAACCCCAAACCCTAAACCCTAAACCCTAAATTCTCCCTTTTTTCGCTGGCATCTAGGCTTCTCGCAACTTCGCCTCGGCAATCAGCACCTTGGGACAGCTCCCAGACCCCACCGAGTCCACCCTGCAATCTACCAAACTTGGCTTTAGGGTTTAGGGCTTAGGGTTTGGAGCTTGGGGTTTAGGGTTCGGGGTTTAGGGTTTAGGGTTTAGGGTTTGGGGTTTGGGGTTTAGGGCTTAGGGCTTAGGGCTTAGTGGTTAGGACTTTCTTGTCTGCACTCTGTTCTAGACACACATATATATATATATATACTCTATATGAAAATGCTCCGTGGAGTATATAGATTCCGCATATACCCTATATAAACACTTTCTATACTCTTGATATACTAGCTTCGATATACTCTCTGTCTCTATAAACATATACGCGCCCTATATGCGCTGTACTCTAGTCTGTACTCTCTACCTGAGCCCAAAGAACCAAAGTCCAAAGCTCTTTTGACTTTGTCGGGAATCGCACAGAGGTGTTTATACGGGAGTTCGCAGGTTTAGGGTTTAGGTTTCCCTTAACCCTAAACCCTAGTCCCTAAACCCTAAACCCTAAACCCTAAACCGCCTAAACCCAGAACCTTTTTTCCCAAAGGGGACTGCAGAGTCCCTCCACCCGACACCCTGGAGGAAGCCATTGAGCCCAACATCGCCTAAACGAGGTTCTGGGTTTATAGGGTTTATAGGGTTTAGGGTTTAGGGTTTAGGGTTCAGGGTTTAGGGTTTAGGGAAACAATGCAGGGTCCTGATAGAGCTTAGGGCTCAGGGTTTGGGGTTTTAGGGTGCTTGGGTTTTGGGGTTGTTTGGGGTTTAGGGTTTTAGAGCTTTAGGGCTTTAGGGTTTTAGAGCCTTCAGTTTGAGAGTTTTAGGGTTTTAGGGTTTAGGCCTAAACCCTAAACCCTAAGCCCCCAAAACTTGCCGCCGGGCCCCGGGCTGCGTTGAGCGCTGCCCCGCGCAGGAGCTGGTCGCCTGTGACATTCTGCATGCGGGGGGCTTAGGGTTTAGGATTTAGGGTTTAGGGTTGAGGGTTGAGGGTTGAGGGTTGAGGGTTGAGAGTTGAGGGTTGACGGTTGAGGTTAGGGTTTAGGGTTTAGGGTTTAGGGTTTAGGGTTTAGGGTTTAGGGTTTAGGGTTTAGGGTTTAGGGTTTAGGGTTTAGGGTTTAGGGTTTTTAGGGTTTAGGGTTTAGGGTTTAGGGTTTAGGGTTTAGGGTTTAGGGTTTAGGGTTTAGGGTTTAGGGTTAGGGTTAGGGTTTAGGGTTTAGGGTTTAGGGTTTAGGGTTTAGGGTTTAGGGTTTAGGGTTTAGGGTTTAGGGTTTAGGGTTTAGGGTTTAGGTTGGAAGGACAGGTCTGCCAGAGTTTCTGCCGCAATCCTCAGGAACCCCAAACTTTTCAGCGTGCCCGCAGAGGTTATAAATTTCAGGGTTAGCCTTTAGGTTTTGGGTGTTAGGGCTTTAGGGTTTAGGGTCTAGGGTCTAGGGTTTAGGGTTTAGGGTTTAGGGTTTCGGGTTTCGGGTTTCGGGTTTAGGGCTTAGGGTTTAGGGTTTAGGGTTTAGGGTTTAGGGTTTAGGGTTTAGGGTTTAGGGTTTAGGGTTTAGGGTTTAGGGTTTAGGGTTTAGGGTTGAGGCTTCCCGGCGAAAGGCGTGAGTCAAGCCTAAACCTCAAAGGTTACGTAGTGCGAAGGGGGCCTGCCGGCTCGTTGGGTCCAGCTTATTGGCTCATTGTGCATGAAGTTACCAACCACTACTGACAGCCTCCACATCTTGAAGTAGCTGCTGCGAGCTGTGAACCTCTGGTCATCCGTCAAGCTTCAGTTCCCTGGTGCACACATTTGACAGCAGTTGAATTCCTCTGTCTTGGCACAACCAGCCATTCTCTGAGAAGGCTGAGGCGTCGGTCGCACTTGCTCTCGGTTGCACACACCGCAGTGAATCATGCTCCTGAAGGGAATATAAGACCGGGAAAAAGGTTAAAGGTTACCTACTCTACTACGAAGATATGTTGTTAGGGTCTAGGGTTTAGTCTCCAGGGCTTGGGGCGTGCTCGCAGAAAGGACCGACATGTTCGTGCAGCGCATCTTCCTTCTATAAGGAGGATTGGGCTCCCTAACCGCCTAACCCTAAACCCTAAACCCCAAACCCTAAACCCGAAACCTGAAACCCGAAACGAATCTCTTGAGGCCCCAGCCGGAGACGAAGAGGTCCAAGCCTTTGGGCGCGAAGATTAAAGATGACCTGAGCTTGTAGGGTTTAGTTTAGGGTATAGGGTATAGGGTATCGGGTTTAGGGTATAGGGTTTAGGGTTTAGGGTTTAGGGCTTAGGGTCTAGGGCCTAGGGTCTAGGTAAAGGTTTACGGCATAGGGCTTAGGGCTTAGGGCTTCGGGTTTAGGGTGCAGAGTTTAGGGTTCAGGGTTTAAGGTCTTCAGTCGGGGGTTTAGAGTCTTGCTAGAGGCTCAGGGAACCTTGCTCTAGATCAGGTTTTACTTCTTACACCTACTTCGACCAGTACCCTAAGCATTCAAGTAGGGGTGAGGGAAGAGGTTGAAGGTGATTTCGAGGGAAGAGGTTGAAGGTTATTGGGGGTTTTAGGGGTTAAGGCTTTAGGGTGTCAGGGCTTAGGAGTTTGCATCCTAAAGCCTCCCCACCCTGTCTGCTAGCAGCGGCCCTCTTGTGGCGGACGAGCCGCCGGATCCGTCCCACCTGCACTGGCAGGAGTGTTCAGGGTTTTTTTGGGGCAGTTGGCCTTGCACCTAGAGTTTGCAGGGCCCTAAACACTAAACCCTATAGGGTGGGGTTAGGGTTCAGGGTTTAGGGTTTAGCGTTTCGGGTTTAGGGTTGAGGCTGGGATTTAGGACCTGCCGCTACTACCGACACAATTGACCCTAACACGTACTTGAACCCGTCGGCCGCATCTTCGCAGCATGGACGCCTAACCCCTATGCAAGCTCTCAACCCTAAAGCTTCTCTAAGGTTCCCTCGGTACCTACCCCCCACGAACCCCCTCTCAAGGACCCCTAGAAGCTCTAAGCCTAAACCCTTAGTCAGCCTTAGTCCTCAAGGGCGGGGCCTCCACGTCGTACTTTTTCGTCGATGTCAGTGGCATCGGGTACCTCGGTGTCAACGTGCCCCGCCTCCCGAACCGAGACACTCTGAACCTTGAGCCAACCTAAAGCCTCTTGGCTACCTAGGACCCCCTCCCCACTCAGCACTACGACCTTTAGACAGACAAGAGCTTTCTAGGTTCAACAAGCTCAGGTCAGCTAACTTAAGCCCAGCCCCAAAATCCTAAATCCTAAACCCTACACCCTAAACCCTACACCCCAAACTTAGCCGCAACAAACGCTTTACACCAGCCCGCCACCCTCTCACCTCGGCAGACCATGGCAGGCTCTGCTGAACCTGCAGTGCCTGAAGGGTTGCCCGGCTTGGGTCTTGCCAAGCTCTTGCCACAGAGTTAGGGCTCAGGGTTTAGGGCACCCTAAAAGCTCTCAACCCTTCCCTAAACCCTAAACCCTAAACCCCAAACCCTAAACCCCAAACCCTAAACCCTAAACCCCAAACCCCAAACCCCAAACCCTAAACCCCAAACCCTAAACCCCAAACCCCAAATTCATGGGACTGCGAGACTGCGGGCTTGACTGCGGAGCGAGGCGCTGCTTCTCAGCCGGGTTGTCCACCACCTGAACATTCTCAGGGCATCCGGTGCTGGAGAACTATGAGCAACAAAATGGCTTAGGGTTCAGGGTTCAGGGTTCAGGGTTTCGGGTTTCGGGTTCAGGGTTTAGGGCTTGGGACGCAGACCCGGCCTGGACGCCTGGTGCGGCCTTCAGCAACTCCGTCGCAGCCTCGGGGGTGACCTCCTGTCGCCATGCTTAGGGTTAAGGGTTTAGGGTTTAGGGTTTAGGGTTTAGGGTTTAAGGTTTAGGATGTAGGGTTTAGGGTTTAGGGTTTACGGTTTAGGGTTCAGGTTCTTTGTTTTTCAGGAGTTCAGGGTAATAAGGCTTATGAATTATGAACCCTAAACCCTAAGCCCTAAATCTCAAACTCTAAAACCCTAAACCCCTAAACCCTAAAACCCTAAAACCTTATGCCCTTAAAGCCCTAAAACCCTAAAACCCTAACACCTTACAACCCTAAACGCTACATGCCTGTTTAGGGTTTTAGGCTCAAATTTCCTGGGTTTGACTGCCTTCGGGGTTTGGGGGCGCGGCGGGGGCCGAATCACACGGCAGACGGGGGGGAGCTAGGGTTTCGGAGTTTTGGGCTTTCGGGTTCAGGGTTGTTGGGGGTTTAGGGTTTGGGGGTTCAAGGTTTAAGGTCAGGGTTTGGGGTTTGGGGTTTGGGGTTTGCAGTTTGGGGTTTGGGGTTGGGGGTTTGGGATTTAGGGTTTGGGGTTTCGGGCTGGGGGTATGGGATTTGGGGTTTGGACTTTCAGGAGAGGTGGGGGCTTTCGCTTGTAAGGCTTCTGCTTCAGGAGCTCTGGGACTGATGTGTGAGCTTAGGGGCGTTAGGGATTCTAGGGCGACATCAACGCTCCTCCTCAGTTTCAATGGTGATGGCCTCAGAATGTGCACCTGGGACATGGATCAGGGCTGAGGGTTTAGGGTTTAGGGTTTAGGGTTTAGGGTTTAGGGTTTAGGGTTTAGGGTTTAGGGTTTAGGGTTTAGGGTTTAGGGTTTAGGGTTTAGGGTTCAGATCTCATCAACTTACCGCTCCGTCCCTGAAGCCCACAGCCAAAGCAAGCCCCAAAGCTACTAGTACCTACAGCCCAAAACCCTAAACCCTATAAATCTTGAACTTGGGTTGATAAGGGTTTATGAGGGGCTCAAAAGGGTTTTGGGCTTGAGGGCTTTAGGTGCTTAGAGGTTTAGGAGTTTAGGAATTGTGGGTTGGGGAGTTAGGGTTGAGGATTTGGGGCTTCTGCCCGTAGACTCCGCAAAGCCCTACACACCCAAGCCGCAAACAGGCCTTACAACTCGGATGGCCCTTATTAAAAACCCTTCGAAAAATATTCCTAAATATGCTCCTCTTAAACCCAATTCGGGAAAATATCCCAAAAGACCACCTAGTAAACTAAACCCCTGGTTCTTAGTAGGGAATGAGGGAAGTAGGGCCCTAGATAGACCCTTTAAGGGATTTTTCGTCATTCCCTCAGTCCCTCGCTCCCTACTAAGAGCCAGCCAGACAAGTCTGGGGTTCAGGGCTTGGGGTCTTTCAGGGCATAGGGCTTTTAAAGTGAGGGGTTTTGGGGTCTACCCCTAAACCCTAAACCCTACACCCTAAACCCTAAACCCTAAACCCCAAACCTCCTAGAGCCGGCTCGGGCCGCCACGCTTGGTAGGAATCCGCACGGCCGTGCAGCTGCAGGACAGATCCTGCTCTGGCACAGTCTAGGACTCTTGGGGCCTGAGGGCTGATGAGAGTTTTAGGGCTGGTTGGGGTTTGGGGTTAGGGTTTAGGGTTTAGGGTTTGGGGTTTAGGGTTTAGGGTTTCGGGTTTAGGGTTTAGGGTTTAGGGCTGACCCCAAGTCCCTAACGCCTAAGGCCTTAACGCGTTTAAGGCACAGGCCCCACACACCTTTACACCGTTCAAGGGAGCTCAGGGTCCGAGAGCCAGTGTTTTTCGGGACCAGTGCTGAGGGTTTAGGGTTTAGGGTTTAGGGTTTAGGGTTTAGGGTTTAGGGCTTAGGGCTTAGGGCTTAGGGCTTAGGGCTTAGGGCTTAGGGTTTAGGGTCCCTATGCCTCAAGGGACCCCCTGGACACTTCCCTGGCACCTGGATCCTCCCGGAAACACCGGGACACCCCGCTCCTGACTCTAATTCAGGGCCCTGTGAAGGAAGCCCCTCAATCACCGGACGGAGAAAGTTTGTAGGCGTGGGGCGGGATAAAACTGTTAGATGGCGCGCCACAGCGGGGCCATGGCTGCTCTTCGCATTTCTCGATTCTTGAGCAGCCAGTCTGCATATCAACCTTCACAGCTTCTGCGCCATCTTGCAGCAAACGCTAAGCCCTAAACCCTTCGCAAGAGGAAGGTTAAGGTAAGGACAACTCAAGAGCGGGGGTTCCCAGGTGAGCGTACCTCGTCAATCGCCTTCGACAAGGACTCAAAAGCACTAAGAGAAGTTGAGCAGAGTATAGGGGACACTGCCACCTGAAATAGACTGGAAGCCCTAAACACTAAACCCTACACCCTACACGGGAAACCCCAAACCCTAAACCCCAAACCCTTAACCCCAAACCCGAAATCTAAACCCCCTGCGTTGCGGCGGTCTTTCTCGCCGAAAATCTTCTGGGTCTCCCAGACAACCTTCATCTCCTCCTCGGCCAGAGTGTTAGGATCTATGGGTTTCGGGCTGGGCTCCGGGATTAGGGTTTAGGGTTAGGGATGTTCCCCCTAAGACTAACAGTCCTTAATAAGAAGTCTTTAACCCCTAACACCCTCAACCCTAGCCCTAAACCCTAAACCCTACACCCTAAACCCTCAACCCTAAACCCCAGGGTTTAGGGCTTCCCCGCCTTTGTGTAGCCGTTGCTCTGAAAGGCGTCGATGTGCGGGATCACATTGAAGGGAAGCGGATGAGCAAACACCTCCGAGGTGGGTAGGGCACCCACTTGGGTTGAGGGTTGAGGGTTGAGGGTTTAGGGTTTAGGGTTTAGGGTTTGGGGTTTAGGGTTTAGGGTTTAGGGTTTAGGGTTTAGGGTTTAGGGTGCTGGGAACCTTTCATGAGGGGTTTGGGTTTAGGCTTAGGAATGACCCAGGCTTCAGGGAACTGGGGCTCGACTGCTTGCCACCAACAAGGTCGACTGCAAGAACTGCGGGGTGTGCCCTGCAGGGCAGCATCAACTCAAAATCGAGGTCTCACCCTAAACCCTAAACCCCAAACCCTAATCCCTAAACCCTGAACCCTGAACCCTAAACCCTAGAAGTGTACCAGCATCTTGGGCATTCGTTTGGGAAAAGGGAATGGGATTAAACTAGTTCCTGCGCATGATCGTCTTGAAGTCAACGCGAAACCCTTAACGTTTTAGTTGTTCTAGGCCTTCGCCCTGCCAGTATTGCCAATGGCACCTCGTTGGCGTGCGGCTGGTTCTCCAGCGCCTGCCTTGTTCCCTCCTGACCGCATGCTTTGAAGGGTAGGTTTAAGGTTTAGGGTATAGGGTATAGGGTTTAGGGTCTAGGGTCTAGGGTCTAGGGTCTAGGGTCTAGGGTCTAGGGTCTAGGGTCTAGGGTTTAGGGTTTAGGGTTTAGGGTTTAGGTTTTAGGGTTTAGGGCTTAGGGTTTAGGGTTGAGGGCTTAGGGTTTAGGGTCGAGGGCTTATGCAGGGTTTTACGGCTTAGGGGTCTGTGGCATGTTGCCAAAGGACGCAGAACACTTGGCAGAGGAGTGTTTTCTATGGTTCAGGCCGATCACTGACTTGAGCCACTCCAAGCTCTTACTATTTTGGGCCTGTTTCTTGATTTGAGTTATGTTTTGTGAGCTGTTTTTGAGGCTTAAGGTTCAAAAGCTCCCTAAATCCTGAAATGCTGACAACCCTTTAAACCCTAAACCCTAAACCCTAAACCCTCTCGCCTCCAGCTCAGTCATGCCAGCTGCACCCGCCCCGCTGGCTGCCTCCGCAGAGCGCGCTCGCAAACCCTCTGCAGTGGTCTACGCCAATCGCGGGAGGCTGCTGAAATAGCCTAAACTCTATGCCCTAACCCTAAACCCTAGACCCTGAACCCCAACCCCTAAGCCCTATTAACCCTAAACCCTAAACCCTGAACCCTAAACCCTACAACACGGGGGTTTAGGGCTTCGTCCTGAGGGTCTAAAGCCCGCGATCCTAACTCATGAAAACCCTGAACCCTGCAGCTAAACCCTAAACTTGGGATGTTCCCCCAAAAACAAGCAGTCCTCAACAGGGATCGCAGTACCCCCTATTATAATCCCTATTAACCGCCGCTGGTATAAGGGGGAACATCCCAACCTTAACCTACCAGTAGGGCAAGCTTAAGCCCTAAGCCCCAAACCCTAAGCTCTAAACCCTAAGCCCTAACCCTAAACCCTAAACCCTTTGAGGTTTGGCTTGGATGAGGCTTGTTCCAACCCTAAACCCTGCGGCACCTGGTACGTAGAAACAATGACCTTCCGCAGACGAAAGCGCCGATGAAGCCTGAGAGAAGTCGCGCTTTTGCTGACGTCTATGCGTGCTCATGCTTCCCTAAGGGTTTAGGGTTTAATTAGGCTTAGGGTTGAGGGTTTAGGGTTGAGAGTGTATATGCCTGGGCCCCGAAAGCTGCTGTATGGGAACCCCTGTAAGGCCCAAGTACATACTATGTATGCACATGGACCTTAGGTCGTGTGGCCTAGTAGCAGTTCAGTGTTGACCGTTCGGACGGTCAAAGGTTGAGGAACACCGCAAAGGAACGCGCGGAGCGTGCTGAGGCCAGCTACGATTTGGGCATTTCCCAAAACGGGGGTATCCCTTTTGCACCCCAAATAGAATAGAATCCCCTTAAAGGGACCCCCAAAAAGGGTGCCCCTATTTTCGGAAACCCCCATTTTGCACCTACAAGCTCCAAGCCAAGCATGAACAGCGAGGATGCCGGACCCTAGCACATCAACATCATGTCTATTTGCTTAACCCCCACCCCCCCCCCCCCCCGCCAACAAAAAGGATCAATAGTCCTCATATTGCCCTTATAATTAAACGGAAAAATATGTTAAGCACATAGCAGATGATCAATGGCGTGGAACTGGCCATAGTCCCTCGATGCATGCTGCGGCGTGTAGGTGGCAGCAGTCGACGTCCGACATTGGTGCACAACGTGGCCGACCAAATCGCCACGAAACGGAAGAAACCGATAGGAGTTTACGACAATAAGAGACCCCAAATATAGACCCCCAAATAGTGGGATCCCCTCATAACAAGGACCCCAATAAGGCACCCCTATGATCGTAAACCCCCACATGGCAACGCCGACCAGAACGATGCTATGCAGAAGGAGGAGTTTAGTCTGGATCTCAGTTCTTGGGTATACCCTGAGTTTAGGGTTTGGGGTTTAGGGTTTAGGGTTTAGGGTTAGGGTTTAGGGTCTAGGGTCGCCGTTTCGTGCTTAGGGCTTAGGGCTTCAGGCGCTCAGAGGATCCCTGCAAAACCCGCGATAGGGCCTCGCAACTCGGTGAAGGAACAACCCCCACCCCCCGCCCCCCCCACCACCCCAATTTGGGGTTTAGGGTTTTAGGGTTTAGGGTTTAGGGCTTAGGGTTTCGGGTTTCGGGTTTAGGGTTTAGGGTTTAAGGTTTAGGGTTTAGGGTTTAGGGTTTAGGGTTTAGGGTTTAGGGTTTAGGGTTTAGGGTTTAGGGTTTAGGGTTTAGGGTTTAGGGTTGAGGGTCCGCCGACCCTGGCGGCGTGTTGGATGGGAAAAGGAGGTGAAAACCTCCCTCTTTCCCTCCTTACCCCCCAAAACGCGGGGACAGCACTGTAGGGCTAAACCCTAAACCCCAAACCCTAAACCCCGAGGGCTAGAGGGTTTAGGGTTTACGGACTAGGGCTGGAGGTCTTGAGCAACTGGGCACCTCAGGCCGGGAACCTCTAGGTTTGGGGCTTAGGCTTTGGGGTTTGGGGTTTAGGGTTTAGGGTTTAGGGTTTAGGGTTTAGGGTTTAGGGTTTAGGGTTTAGGGTTTAGGGTTTAGGGTTTAGGGTTTAGGGTTTAGGGTTTAGGAGGGATAATCGTTTCGGGTTTAGGTTTTGGGGCTTAAGAAATCACATTGATTTGGAGGGGCCAAGGGGCTTAGGGATGCGGGCTTTCGGGGTCTCGGGTTTAGGGGTGCAGGGTTTAGGGACCTAGGCTGCACCTTGCGGACTCCCGAACGAAACTATGGAACGTTCCAGGCCTGAGGGTCTGGGGTTTAGGGTTGAGGGTTGAGGGTTTAGGGTTTAGGGCTTAGGGTTGAGGGTTTAGGGTTGAGGTGCAGGGTCTGGGGTCACCGAGCTCCTCGTCAAGGACAGCCAAACCCTCCTATCCAGGGGCCTAGTGATTTTGGATGGGTATGTTGGGCAGTTTTCTGATTCTTACGGGCTGAAGAAGTGGACTGCTGTGTGCACACTGTAAACCCTAAACCCTAAACCCTCACCCCTAAACCCTAAACCCTCAAGTATCTAGGTGCCAAAAATAGTTGCATGGGGGGGGGGGACTATGGCATGCACTCTTCTAGTGATTCTAGTGGTTACACTTCTTCCAGAGGGCCTGAGGCCAAAACCCTGAACCCAAACCGCAATGAACCCTAAACCCTAGACCCTAAACCCCAAACCCCAATGAATCCTACACCCTAAACCCTAAACCCTAAACCCTAAACCTTTAAACCCCAAACCCTAAACCCTAAATAAACCCTAAGACCCCTGATGAACCCTAAGCAATAGATGGCAAGGGAATTTGCTTGATACGCCCATGGCACACTCGACGCGTCCCTGGAGGCCTGTGACTGTTGCGCTGTCTGCCCCGGAGCTTCAACCCTTAGTACTAAACCCTAAAACCCGAATCCTAAACCCCTAACCCTAAACCCTAAACCCTAAACCCTAAACCCTAAACCCTAAACCCTAAACCCTAGCCGAAATGCCTAAAAACTGGAACCCCCAAACGCCAACTTCTTTCAAGAGGCGGCCAAAGCGCCATCGCCGCAATCGCCTGGAACACAACTCACTGGTTCTTATTACTAGGGTTTAGGGTTTACTGAGGGTTTAATTAGGATTTCGTTAGGGGTTAATTAGCGCTTACGAGTGTAGGGCGTTCTTACTGCTGATTTTCCCGTTTGTAAACGGCTTTAAGGCCCACTTTCTAAGGTCACTGAGCCCTTATGGAACGAGATGCTGTATATCCCCAATTTTTCGGGGTGTCGCCGGGAGGGGCCAATATCCCAAAATACTACAGCCCTTATTGTCGGAACCGCCGAAAAGAAGAGGACCCCTCATTTTTGGAAACCCCCGTGGAAGCCTTGAAAAGAATTCGCAGGCTACTAGGCATACCTGGGTCTGTTTAGGGTAAGGTGGGTTTAGGGTTTAGGGTTCAAGGTTCAGGGTTTAGGGTTTAGGGTCTAGGGGTAAAGGAGAGCAGGTTAAGAGTAGGTTCATTCGTACCCCACGTCGCGGGTTTATAACGCTAAACCCTAAGCCCTAAGCCCTAAACCCTAAACCCTAGACCCTAGACCCTAAACCCTAAACCCTACACCCAAACCTTAGAGTACTAGCCATCACTTGCCTGTGCAGAGTGTTGCTCTTATGACCCTGAGCCCTAAACCCTAAACCCTAAACCCTAAACCCTAAACCCTAAACCCTAAACCCCAAGCCCAAACGCACGACCCCGGAGCCCAATGCCCTCACCACGGCTGCTTGCAGTGCCAGCAGCCGTGGTGCAGTTGGGGTTCGCGATGAGCAGCTTTCCCTTCATGGCATCCCTGTGCTGAGCGCTTCAACCAGTTAGGATTTAGGGTTCAGGGTTTAGGGTTTAGGGCTTTGAGGGTTGAGGGTTTAGGGTTTAGGGTTTAGGGTTTCGGGTTTCGGGGGTTTAGGGTTGAGGGTTTCGGGTTGAGGGTTTAGGCGGTTTAGGTATGGTTTAGGGTCTAGGGTGGTCCCTTCGTATGGGTCCTTAAACGGGTACCCCTTATTTAGCCCTTCATACTAGGGGCCCGTACATCAAAACACTTTAAGGGAGCTTAGGGGGCCATATTATGAAGGGCCCCTGATACTACCCTTAGACAATTGGGAATCTCCCAATCCTAGTTGGAGTATCCTCGGCCAAAGAAGGTTGACCTTTCAACTGTGGTAGGAACATGTATACCCCAAACGGTTTAAGGTTACCTACTCAGCTACAAAGCCATCAAAACCTGATGCACGGTCTACTGACTTGCACAGAAACCTAAACCCTAAACCCTAAACCCTAAACCCTAAACCTAAACCCTAAACCCCTAAACCCCTAAACCCCTAAACCCTAAACCCTAAACCACTCTGGGCCACGGGCGAGTTGATCTCAGGAACGACTAGCCTGGCTGACACGCAGAGCGTTGTCTTCGGAATCTTGCCATGGAAGGTACACATCAGCCTAAAACCCTAAACCCGAAACCCGAAACTTCGAACCCGAAACCCTAAACCCTAAACCCTACATGAGGTCAGCTCTCTACATTTTGGTTCCAGTTGAAACCCAAAACCCTTGAGCCTAAGCCTCTCAAACCCTGCGTATCACCAGATTTTTAACCTACGAAGGTAGCAGAGCCTTAAAGTAGGCCATGCGAGGCATGCACGACTGTGTCAAGGTGACTTCTATAGCCAAAGACCCAAAATCCTAAACGCTAAAGTTCTATACCTTAGAGTCCTAAACCCTAAACCCTAAAGCCCTCAAACTCCTCAACCCTAAACCTTAAACCCCTCAGGGCTCAGGACTGCATAGGCAGCTCCAGCCAAGCAGCGGGATGTCGTCCTTGTACCTGAAGGCAGAGGAGTTGTCGATGACGATGGTCTTGCCGTTGGCCACGATTTGCGGGGAGAACCTTGAGGCCAACTCTTGAGCCCTTGAGCCCTGTAACCCTAAACCCGAAACCTGAACCCTAAA